TGCCTTACGAAAGTTTCTTATATCTGAAAGTTTAATGGGGTTATTTCTTTGAGGCGGCCTCATATAATATCTCGTCTTGATTGTAAAATGAACATCTAATGGGACGTGATGTTGCTCTGAAGAAGTTAGTTGATTGCTAGCATTGGTAACTGTAATCCCTAGCATCGCAGGATTGGTGAGTACTAAGTCTAACATACGACCCCTCGAATTTAAAATATTGTTTTGCTGGGTTAAGTGACAGGACTCTATAAATAAGTTAAATTCTGTACGGATATTTGAAGATGCTGAATATAAATTGAAATCGCCTACTACAATTAAAGGTAAGGAGTCGTAGTTATTTGCAATCCTCTCGATACAGGCAAATACAGAGTAATATCTAGTATCAGAAATTTTTGTCGGCATATATACTACACAACAAATAAACCGCACAGAACCTTTCGACACTAGTGCACATACTATTTCGTCGTCTTGCGCAGCGTCACAGTCTAGTTTGCGTAATTTGAACGGAGGGCGCGCTGCTAGGAGAACACCACCTCCTTGTCTTGTGCGGTCGCAGCGTAATACATCGTAGTCTGGAGTGAATATTTCTGAATCGTGCACAGAATCATCTAGCTTGGTTTCAGTTAGAGCTATTAAACTAGTAGAAAGTAAGCAAAAGGCACTCTTAACTTTGTCTTTTTTTCCTTTGAGGCCTCTGACATTCTGGTAGTAAAGTTCGTAGTTTTTAGTTACAGCTGTAGTTGTGATTTTCGTTTGATTAGAGTGATGATCTGTGTTGCTATTCGTCTTATTGGGTATGTAGGGTTGGTGGCGAGATTGTGTCGATGACGTTTGAAGTAGATGATCGTGTCCAGGTTCTAGATTCATGTTGGTCTGTAGAGTATCGGTGGCTTCGACCATGGGAGGGACGTCTGGGTGCCGCCTGCCTAGCGGCGGCGCTGCGGCGAAACCACTCGCTGATCCTTGTTTCTGCCGGCCACAGCTCAGGCCTCATCAATATCTCAAAATATTCACTCTGGACGGTGATGACGAACGACGCATAATGATTGTGCTTTAGCTTCAGCTTTTTTACACTGACATCATCTAAAGGGCAGTTCTTCTTCAGATGGATTAAAAGAGACTCGGATGTCGTTTCTGGTTTAAAAAAACAAGCGTGAATATGTTTCTTTCTCTGGATTGCTTGCAAGGTAGTATCGACTTTACATGTTCCTCTTATGATTTTTGGTACTTGTGCGGTATCTTGTTGTACTATATCATCATTTTTTGAGGTTGAGGTAGTGTGTAGATTACTGGAGACTGTATTTGTATGAATTTGAAAATTAGCGTGGCCTGCTATTTCCGTTTGTAGAAAAGTTGGCGTTGTTTTCAGTCCGTTATCAGGAGACACAATGTGTGGATTTGGCCCCGGTGGACCTTGGTCTGCCTTCGGGTCTAATTTTGCTGTATTTTTATGTGATAAGCTATCTGGAGTAGTATAACACAATGATGCGCTAAGTTTGATCTCTAATTCCTGTATATGTTTGCAGTTTTTATCTGCTATTAACTGTAGCGAGTTATATTTTTCTTGCAAGTTACGGACCGTGCTTTGGGTATTATCAATGTCTGTTTTAAGTTTGCAGTACTTGCTAGTTAGGTCTAATAAACAGGTTTTCAGTTCGCTTACAGACGCAGTAATCTCGTGAAATCTGGCTTCCTGATATTTGAATTGTTCGTAAACTTGTTGGCGGAATTCTCGGAGCTCCATAAGTATAGTGCGGTTACATGGCATCTCAAGGAGGGTGGGTGAAGAAAGAGAGAGAATTGTGTTATTCTCAGTACATGTATCTGGGCGCTGCTCAGGAATTCCGGCACGAACAGTTTGATTTAGTCCTATATTTGAGACATCGGGGCTCGCGTTAAACGTGCTGTCATGCTGGATAACGTTTTCATTTATCAGAGGAGGAGTGGAAGTAGTAAAACGCTTGTTACCAGGCTTCTCGGTAGCTATAGGTGTATCAGTTTGTTGTTTAGGCGATTTTATTGCAGGTATAGGTATTCTTGAGGATAATGGATTTTGTGGTATCGCTTTTCGTGTGTTATTGTATCGTATAGTTTCCCAGCAGTTGTGGCATTTCCAGTTCGACTTTTCAGCTAAGGTCATCAGGCAATATCTCTTTTCACATCCGGCGCATTCTGTGTGCCAAAACTCATGGCAGTCGGAACATTTTAATTTTTGCCGACCTTTTATTTCTTGATTACATCTTTTGCAATAGTATTTTTGAGTATTATTCGCCATATTTAATGTTTTTGGTAGTATAACTTCGAAGACTTAAAAATTAGTAAAGCCCTCTCGTGGCAAGGAGCGGAACTATTTTTGGTGTGGTTGGTAGAGGTTCCCGTCGCGTCGTGGCGAGCGGAGAACCCACGGGGAATCAGGGATCGATAGTTCCCGCTATCCAATAACAGATGGCGCTGTTCGTTGCGAGGAAGTTTGTATGTGTATAAAAATCGGTTAATGATTTTTTATGCACTATTTACACAAAACTCACTAAAAAGTTTTGGAAAGTCCTCCATAATTAATTATAAATACGATAACGATTAACCATAGTCACTAAACAAAGTTTATCAGTTGAAAGAAAGTTCGTTATCAAAAGTTCGAATTTGGAATTGTTCGTTTGTATGAGAAAAAATCTTTAAATGCACATTTATGTATGAAACATATAAAAGTATTATCAAATAACTGTAATAAACTGTTTAGAGTCACTTTTCTCACATCTACTTGGCATAAACCATTGTTTTTTACTAGAAAAAGTTATAGATAAATTTTGTCAAAGCGTCACTTTTTGTTTCGTATTTTATGCCGATAATACACTTCACTTCTTGTGGATAACGTTTACCGGTATGGTCCAAGACACTAACAATGTGAATCACTAAAAATAGTAGATAATATTGAGAAATTTACTTTGAAAAACAATATTTATTTAAAGACTCTACAAAGTTACGTGTTTACTTATCAACGCCACCTGGCGGAAAAGTGAATCAACACGTAACATATACCTATAATATAAAATGATGTCACTTTGTGTGTTTCTCTGTCTGTCAGTCTGTATGTCGTAGAATTCATTAACTTCCTACTAAACCACGCAAGGGATTTTGATGCGGTTTTCTGAAATAGAGAAAGTGATTCAAGAGGAAGGTTTATATATGTGAAACACATGCCGAAAAAAATCGCAAACGGGCCGCTGGTATTATTTTATACTAGCGTTCATCCGTTGCAACTCATTTTCCTGGGAAAGGTAATTTTACCAGCATGAGATACATAAATAAACATTTCTCTTGAATCATTCTACTTATTACACAAAACTGCATCAATATCCGTTACGTGGCTTAGAAGCAGTCTTCTTTTTATATTATGTACAGTATGTTAAAAAATAACTGCAAGTATTTTAAAGAGTGAACACCTTTCCTTTAAGAAATGATAAATAGTTTAATAGACTGGTTAAACCTTAAAATATTTGCAGTTATTTTACTTCTACAATTATTAACTTCCCTGTATTCAAAAATTACAAATTAAATAAAAATAAGTAATAATTTATGTTTTTTTTATATTCTAGTTGTAATAAAACAGCACCTTTCCTACTTTGCAAGAAGAGAAGAGTGGCAGTTCACACACCGTTACCCATGCACGAATCCCGATGCAACGCAGTATACCATGCAGAAAAAAGAAGAAGTTTGCTTGAAGTGTAGAAGCCTCGCATAAAAGCATCTAGACGAAAGCCAGTGCTTTCCTTCAATTTAAAGGGAATACAGTCGAATTACGATATGATAGCGAAACTTTTTAATTATGTTTCATTGTAATAATTTAATTTATTAAAATATTTTTGAGTTATTTGATAATAAATTAAATTATTATTTATTCATTTGTATTAGGTACTCTATCACACTATATTCCCTATCACACCATCTACTAGCCTAGGCTCCTAAAACAATTAAATAATCGCGGAAAACCTTTATTCCTAGTTGTCCTACTGATCAGTTCTGCGATAGAACAGGCTCAACATTTTTATCCCGCTGGTTCTACGGTGCCAAATGGTACCGGCTAAGAATTCTGCCACCCCTAATCTACCCATGGTGTTTCGTAAAAGTAGAGTAGAGTAGTGTTGAGTTATTGACCTTAGCTACAATATCTGCCACTAAAAATTTACTCATTTTATTCGTATTTTTTTCTTGGTTCACTTGTACGTATGGTAATTAACGTTGCTGCTGGAACTAGGATCGTATTATTTTGCAAATAATAAAGAGCAAATCCGAGCACTAGGAACAATAATAATATCCTTATTATTATAATACCTAATATAAAGTGATAATAATTTAGTAACATAAGACAAACAAAATAGGTAAACAATAAATATTTCAATTATTCTAACTTTGCATTACTTTCGTTTCTATTCGCTTCTAATAGTTTTCACGTGGTAGTAAGATATTTCGGCGTGTTAAAAGTATCTACCCTATACAATTCCAGGATAATTAACCTAACTTTCTAAAGGCGAAAGAAACTTAAAATCGTACGCGCAGATTTTGAGAAAATTCGTTACAAACCTATAAAATACTCACAGAAAATAATACAAATATTTACTCATAATAATATACTATCTATAGAAAATTAGAGATATAAAGTAAATTTGTATAAAATACTAGACATAATATGAAGTCAATTTGTTAAAAGAAATAATATTTTTGAAAATATAACTTAATCTTTTTACTCTTTTCTTTGTACTACATCAGTCTATCTATCTCTTTCTCGATACCCGGGTACGCAAGTCGTTTGTACCCGGGTACCAAAAATCTGAAATACCCGGGTATACCCGGACCCGGGTACCCGGGTAGAAAACCCTAGTTCATATAGAGATAGTTTGAACATGTGGTTGGTTAGAATTGAACATAATAGAAAACAGTCAAACACCAACACACGCGTTAGTGGACAAGATAATATACTTGCTTAATTCGCAGGCTCGATTAGAACCGCGGTAGCCCAGTTGGTAGTGGCGTCGGCAGTACAGATTCCGAAGGTCGCAGGTTCAAATCCCTGCCTGCGTCGGAAAATTTTGCAAGTTTTCAAAAAAAAGTTAAACACCAGCTGAGAGAGAGCACACACGTGCTGTTAAAAGTCTTGTGCACCAGAGTTCTTCAACTAAAATAAAAGTAAAAGAATGGTCAAACTTATAATCAGAATATATTATAATACAGCGTTGTTTGTAATTTTATGGTGACATATACAAAACCTGATGATAACCTGTAGATGTAGATGAAGGACAATGATAAGGTCCCCACTTAATGGAACTGAGCCGACTGCAGAAATGTCTATCTCATCAGGTACCACAATAGGCTAAAGTTTGATTCCGAAGCTGATCTTAGCGCAGTGGAAGCAAATTAAAGTTATCTTAAAATCTAAAACTAAATGGTCGATCAGCCTCGGAACAACATTTGACTACGATTCGTAGTGCTCTTTACTATAGCTAAATAAAATAAATTTAATGAGAGAATTTTGTTCCGGAAAGTTTCCGGCCGAGAAATTCTTGTTTCCAAAATCTACTTAAACAGGGCCCAGCAACGAATTGCTTACCGAGCGAACGATGACGCCGTCGTTTCCTTGTAAGTCTAGTTTTTGACAGGAAAAATAGGTATCAGGTTTGAGGAAGACTTTTGGATTGGGACTTAGGTACTAGACTTACTGCACCCGGGCACCAGCTCGTGTGGCACTCCGCCCCTCCGACAGTTTTGGCTTCACCTCAGTTCATCACTCCACCATTCACCAGTTCACAGTTCGACATCAAGAATGTTTTCAACACAAAAACAACTAAAGATTCCTCTCCGAATGAGGAATCGGCCCCGTTGGCCCCAATCAAGAAAACAATCAAAAATATATGGCTATCGGCAGCCGCGACGCGAGCGACGACTCAAAGTGAGGTTATGTTACCGGCGACCACGTTGGCCTCAATCAAAAGCCGGAACCAAAATCACTTGGTTCACTTCCCACCGAACAGGAAAACCACACGAGAAAACCGAAAGCACACTAAATTACTTATTTATAATTAAACTTCGCATCCACGATGCGGGCGACGGCAGAGGACGTGACAAGATGACAGAGCAGTGTTGCCAGCACCGCGCGCCCATTTTATACGAAAACTAAACATTCACCCGCCCGGACCGACCCATCGGTCCGCTCTATGCATGGCAGGCGTGATAATGTAGCTACTGCTCGCTTAAGGACTGAATCCCCACCTGAACTTCTGCAACTCGAGGAGTGCCATCACTACCCGGAAACAGGTTGAGAATGCGCCCCGGCGCCAACGCAGTGGCGGTAGGTTGGCATCCTTAACCAGAACGAGATCCCCAATGCAGGGGTTCAGTCCTGTCCGTCCACTTAAGGCGTTGCTGCAGAATGTGCAAGTACTCAAGCGACCAACGCTTCCAAAAGTTTTGAGTCATTTGCTGCAACAACTGATAACGCGACAAACGATTGCTATTCACCTCCGTATAGGGATATTCCGGCAAGGCGTTAAGTGGGCGGCCAATTAAGAAATGCCCTGGCGTCAGGGCCTCTAAATCATTTGGGTCTGAGCTGAGCGGACACAAAGGACGCGAATTGAGTACAGCCTCAATTTTACAAAACACGGTCGCCAGCTCCTCGAAAGTCAAAATTGTTAACCCTACAACGCGCAACAAATGCGTCTTAGCGGACTTTACAACCGCTTCAAAAATACCACCCCAGTGAGGGCACGCTGGTGGATCGAACACCCAGGCAATGCCCTGACGGGAGAGGCCCGTGCTGATGGCTTCTTCGTTCTCCCGTAAGAACGTTACAATTTCTTTCATACACCGATCAGCACCCTTAAAGTTGGTACCACAATCCGACCTGATCAGCGCTGGTCGCCCTCGTCGCGACGTAAATCTCTCCAGCGCTGCCAAAAGGCCTCCGTAGAAAGGTCGGCCACGAGCTCCAAGTGGACGGCCTTGGTGGCTAGGCACACGAACACGCACAAGTACGCCTTGATAGACTTTGCGTTCCGCAGGCGTGATGCCTTCACCATGAAAGGGCCTGCGAAATCCGTTCCCACACCTGCAAACGTCCAGGCCTCCGTCACCCGGTCCGGTGGAAGATCTCCCATCTGTGGCTGCATTGTGGCTGCCTTCAAGCGGTAACAAGGCAAGCACCTAAACACAACGCTACGTACCGTTCGTCGTCCCGATAAGATCCAAAACTCGCGCTGTAGAATGGCCAATAGCGCATTACAGCCCGCGTGCGAGTTTTCCTCATGACGATCCCTGACTAAGAGCTCAACTAAGGGTCCCCTTTTGGAAGTAACAGTGGATGCCGAGCCGAAAGGGCAGGCTAGCGTTCCGAAGTCTGCCTCCAACCCTGAGCATACCTTGCTCATCCAGGAATGGGTTGAGGCGCACAATTCCTCCCTTCAGCTTTCCACGTCCATCCCTGAGCAGCCTGACCTCCTCTTCAAAATGTTCCGCCTGGACGACTCTAACTAATGAGCATAGAGCCGCATTCCGTTCCGCAGGCGAGAGGACAGGTGTAAAGTTCCGTTCTGCTTGAGGCTTCCTGCAGTTGTTCACGAACCGTTTGATCCAACCTGTCACCCCAAGAAGTTTGTCGAGGAGCTATACCGTTCCAGCAAGAAAGCTGGGTTAGGCTTCGGTACGAGTTGCCCCACGTTCACTCGCAAACCTCGATCAGGTGGCCCAAGCGGCGCCCTGCACTCGTTGAATGGCCATTCCTGCGGCGACTCAGTTAGCCATTGAGGTCCCCACCACAGTGGGTGACTCACCAAATCAGGTGCCCTGCACCCGCGCGAAGCGCAGTCCGCTGGGTTCCATTCTCCCGGTACGTGCCTCCACACTAACGGAGTTTCCGACCCCGTAATCTGTGACACCCGATTTGCCACGAAAACCTCAAGTGTATGTACCGACGTCTGCAACCAGCACAGAACTATCCGACTGTCAGTCCACGCGTACACCGTTTCATCCAAGTTGATGGTACCACGCAGATTGCAGGTTACATGATTTAGCAAGCGCGCTAGAAGAGCTGCCCTGCCAATTCCAATTTGGGGATGGTCCATCTAGTTCTGACTGGTGCCACCTTACTTTTGGCCATAACCAGACGCACGTGCACAGTTCCCGTTGAACTTGCTGTCCGAAGGTATACAGCTGCCGCGTACCCTCGCTCCGAGGCGTCACAAAACCCATGTAGGGTAGCCTTACATCCCACCGATGGGACTAACTTGCGGGGTATCGCGATGTGCACGATCCCTGGTAGGGTGGTCACAAACTTGAGCCAATCCTTCAACAACTCTCCGGAGAGTTGGTCGTCCCATTCTAAGTTGGCTAGCCACAACCTTTGTAAAAAGCACTTCGCCATGAACGTAACCGGGGCGATCCATCCGTTAGGATCGAACGTTCTAGCGATTGTCGACAGTACCGACCTCTTAGTCCAAGTTTTCTCCAAAAGGTCGGGCTCGATCTTGTACGTGAATACGTCATGCGTTGGCCTATATTGCACCCCGAGGATGCCCAACGTGTTTGGATTGTCCGGGTTCTCAAAGAGGTGCGGGTCCTGATGGAACTCGCCTGGCAAACCAGCCAGGAGCTCTGGGCAACTGGACAACCATTTCCGCAACTCGTAACCTCCTGAACCCATGATCGCGATCAGCTCGTCTAGTAGAATTAGCGCCTGCTCCACGCTATCAGCACCCGTGCAGATATCGTCCACATAGACGTCGCGATCCAGTACTGCTGCGGCTCGAGGAAATCTTACCCTTTCCTGTGCGGCCAACTCTCGCAGCGTACGTACTGCCAAATACGGACTTGGCTTAAGTCCATACGTCACCGTGTTAAGTTCGTATGTGACCATCGGCTCATCTGGGCTCTCACGCCACAAAATCAGCTGATACCGACGGTCATCCGGATGTATCATGGTTTGGCGAAACATCATTTTGACGTCTGCGACGAACGCTACCTGGTGCAAACGAAAGTCTGTGAGAATGTCCACAATGTCCCGGTTCAATTTAGGACCCGCGTGCAAACATTGGTTCACAGACACACCATTCGAGGTAGGAGCAGAACCGTCAAACACCACCCGTATTTTCGCCTCAGGTGACTTCAAGACAGCCAGGTGTGGAATGTAATAATGCTCGACACACCTCCAATTCAGGCTGGACACCGACATGTGGCCCAATTGAATATATTCCCGCATGAATTCTATATACTTCTGCCGAAGTGCTGGGTCTCGCCTCATCTTCCGCTCCATTCCGAGTAGTCTTCGTTCCGCGAGCTGTCGCGAACTACCTAAAGCGGGGCGGTTTGGGAGAAAAGGTAGCCTGGTCACGAATCTGCCTGACGGGCATCTCGCAGTGTTGTATTGATAGAACAACTCGCACTCGTCATCCTCTGGCTTCCGTCTGTCCGCCGTGGGCGCTCTTCAGACTCCCAAAACCTCTGCAGCACCTCTGACAGCACACTACCATAGAGGACCGTATCCCTTCTGGTAGGTCCTGAGGTCTCCAAACTGGGCCGAAAACAACATACCCCTGTGGTATCTACGGCCACCAAACCAGTTTCCTGGAGTACCTTCTTCCTACCGCACCATAATCTCCCGAGGACGTCTGACCCGAGAAGTACGTCCACCGTACCAGGAGTATCAAAATCAGGATCAGCTAACTCCAACCCTGTGGTTAACCCTCGTACCGTTGGTGGTAACCTAACCTGAGGGAGTTTCCCAACCACTTCATCCAGCACCACGGCTGAGACTTGATAGCTGACCCCTGTACATGTGCTACCTAATGTGAACTCAAAGTTCGTCTGACCCCGAATGTCAGGCACATTTAGGCCCCGATGCCTACAGCTTCATCCTCACTTGGCTGTACATTTAGGCCTAGCCTACTCACCAGCTTACTCGATACAATACATCCCTGAGCCCCTGTATCCAGTAGGGCTCTTACTTGAATGGTCCGGCCACCGTATCCCCATACCCAAATCTTAGCCGTTGGCAAAAGTACCGTGATTGGACGGGGAGCCGAAGCTGATGAG